AGTCCATGCATGTGTTGGCGGAATGCACTTCTTCTTTAGTTTAGGGGGATTCCAAAGTTCAGTTCTTGTGGAAACTGGTTTTCATGTTGTGCAGTGATTCTCCAGTACCTGACACATCTGTTTGAGCTCTTCAGGCAAGTGATTGGATATATTCACTTGCCTTGTGTTTCAGTGGACAGCAGTAATAATAATAATACTAGAGACCGCCATTAAGATACATACATTACTGCACTTCAGTCAAGTGCGACAGTCACTGCATTTCACCTGACTGACGGCATATCAGGGCTTTTCAGTATGATAAGAGCCCAGTGCTGGTTTCAGAGAAGAGAGATTATCTCTGCCTTTCAGTAATACAAGCGAACCAAGATCATAGATTCATGGAGGGAAAAGTACTCTAACAGTAGTGTGGATCACTAGATTTCAGCATCTGAGTGTAAGCTGAAAAACGCCTTAAACTTGAGTTAGGTTTGTGAAAACCATGAGTATGGAAGCGTGTGAGAGCCATGTGGAAACATAAAAGCCATACCAGAACAATCTGACTAGACAAGCTTTTACAGCTGGGGGCAGAAGTGATTTTTCAGGATATAGATCTCTACAGGAAAGAAAAAATATGTAGCATATATGGAACACTCCGCTTCAGTGAGAGAAGAGTCAGGGTTTTGGGACCAGATTTGTAAAAGGGGGTGGAGGGCTTCTTTAATGTGAGTGTAACATGTACCTACGATGGAACTGTGGGCACAAATCAGAGAGAGGCTTGAGGACTCTCACCTATACTTCCAGTGCAGAGACTGGGCAGACACTGTGCCCACAGAGTCGGGGTCTGGGCCTCATCCCTGTGGAAATGTGCCCCTTAGTGAGACAAAACAGTGACCAGCGCAAGAGACATCCGTGTAGAAATAATGCCTTGAGGCTATGCAAGGGCACTCCATACCAACTGTGTGTCATTCGGGTGGAGGGTGCTGTCTCCACGACAACACAGAAGTGGGCATAGGTGAGACATTGGCTTTGCTATTGCAGAGAGCCACAGGCCAAAACTCATTCAGTGCAGGAGCTGTACAGTTGCTCACCGTCTGTGGGTGAGGGGATCCCTCCCCTGGAACTCCCAGAGAACCCATGCACAAAGCCCAGTGCCTTGGGCAATGCACACGGTCAGGGTTCTGGCCCTCAGGAGTAACCCTGTGACTACAAGGACAAGACGTCATCGAAGTGTAACTGCTGTTCTAAAAGCTCCTCTTCTCTTCCTTCCCTCTGCAGGATTTTTGGCTTCCCCCTTCACTACACGGATGTGTCCAACATGGGGCGTGGAGCTCGTCAGAAGCTACTCGGGAGATCGTGGAGTGTCCCGGTCATTCGGCACCTCTTCGCCCCGCTCAAGGATTATTTTGCCTGTGAATAGCAGGGATTCCCTTGTCTCTTCTGGTAAAGATGCACTAGCTCAACTGCCTGTGTGGGAGAGGGAAGGAAGAGAACGGCCCACAAGCTCCATTACTTGGTAGGAAATGGTCCCCCGAGCCACACGCTTTGGGAAGGAAGTGTGGCCCTGCAGGGAGAGCGTAGGAAACTTTCTTTAACCAAAGAACCTGTTAGGGTGACTTTTTCAAAGGGACAGAAGACAACGCTCTTTAGAAAATACCGAACACAGAAGCTAGCTTACCCCACCCAGGAGAGCGTAGGTATGGTGGAAGAGACCGCTATGTCTCACACAGAGCATTAACCATTCCATTTTACTGTACAATTGAAAAGTAGCGATTCAGAGGCTGGGTGGTGAAAGCCGCTGGCTGGCGGGCTGCAACCATACTTGAAATAGGTAGAAACAAGGCTTTTGTGGGGAAAAAAACCCAGCCTCTCAAAACAGTTGCTAAGAAATCGGAACTGTAGCCACAGGTATAAAGAACCCTGTCAGGTTACATACACTGAACAAACCAGCGGGATACAAGAACCAAATAGCTTTTTACATTTTTTTTATTTGTTAAAGTTGAATTTTGTTTTTAAACTTTTGTTGCTGCTTTAAGGCATTACATGAGAATGTGGAAATTCCTAGACCTGAATGTAGCTGAAACTGAACTGTGAGGTGATAGAATTACTGTTCTAGTTAGAGCTAAAGAAATGTTGTTGTTTGTGTCTGGCTGTAGTTTTACCAATATTCACTCCTTCCTTTTTAAAACATTCTTTTAATTTTTACATTAAGAACAGCTGAACAGCTAGAAAGGTAAAACATTCGTCAGTTTCTGGAGAGTCTGGGCTCCAAAGCAAAAAAGGAAAATGTTCTCTTAACGTTTTGCAAACCAATGTGCTGAAATGGGCAGGAAGGGGCAGCACTCATGTTCAATGCTGGTTTTTTTTTAAAAACCTCAAAACTTTATTTTTATTAACAGTTTTATAAACCTGAACAGTGTTGCCAACACAGTGTTGTCCAATCCTGATCCCACTAAGTCACCGGGGTGAAATCCTGGCCCTGTTGAAGTCCATGGCAAGACTCCCATTGACGTCAGTGCAGCCAAGATTTCACCAAGGAATTTTGCTCTGGGCTTTGGCCTGATTCTTCTCCCGGGTTAGTCAGTGGTGCTTTCGCTACTGACTACAGTGGGGCTGGAGCAGGCCCGTGTAAAGGGAACCCTCCTGCCATGGAGTAAACTCTCGACACCCCCCACCCTCCTTCGGGAGAGTCCGTTTTTATTATAAGGTGAATCAGACAGATTCCCACTGTTCTTATCTCATCTGCCATCCCTGCACATACAGCTAATGTCTGTTAAGAAGCATAGAGGGACATATTTTTACTCTGATCTTTGCCCGCCCACAGGCACCAGTTGTGTGCATGGCCCCGGCCTTGGCAGGTGTAATCACCTACCCATTGTGAAGTGGATGATGCCCTTTGCTGAGTTGGGTTTGACCCGGGTTGAAAATCTGGCTTCAGGCTGAACAACCAACTATGGATCTAGTGCCACTGGACCCTTCCTGTCTAATCCACTGCCATGCTCTGAGAAAGGGACGTCCCAGTCAGGTCTGGCCATCGTGCTGGTGGCTAGGGCAGACCTGCTTCCCCAGCGCCTTGCTGAGGGCCTCACCTTACTTCCTGCCTTTACTGGAAAAAACAAACATTTGCAATGTTGAAAGAAACTCCCAAGACTGACTAGCGCTTACTGGATCCTGAATTGGATAAAGCCTGGACCCAGAGATTTCAGCTCTCAAATACAGTAATCATGGGCCGGGCAAGCTAGTGTGTAGGGCTCTCATGCATATCGTACATACACCATGATGAACAGTCTCTCTGACAGATCTACTAATGACACAGGGAAGTCACTTTATAGGGAAGTCAGACTTTTTCCCCACAGAGCTTCCCCTAAAAGTGGCACCCTCCTGTGCATATTGCCATGCTTTGAAACAATCCAGGACTTCAGCTCCTCTGTCCTCTCCTAGCTCTGTTCTTCACTCAAACCAGTGGCCCCAGTGAAGTGACGCACTTTTTATGCTCATGCTTAACAGAACACATGTGCTTCTAGAAGTGCTTTGCTGAATTGCAGGAAGTGTTGCTTTATCTGATTTGACTGAAAGCAAATGCCATTGCATCTAAGAAAAGGCTCGGGCAAGAGGCAGACCAATGGACTCTGGCTAGTCGTTGCAAAGGCTTCCATTTCTAAATGAAGAGACGCCTCTGTCTCCTATGGCAAAGTAAACACCAGCCTGGCCCCCCAGACACGCTTGCAGGCTATGTGAAAAGCTAGGCAAACAGCAGTCTTTCCGCATTGTGCTCAGCAGCCTTCCTAAAGGGCAGCCTCCACTTTAACAAGGATCCATGAGAAATGAGAGCGTCCCTATCTCTGCTCCTTCTGCCCCTCCTTGATAACAGGAGACCCCTGTGCATTTCCTTGCCACGTCCTAGAAGAGGGCATCATCCCCAGTGGATGAAGACCCTCGTGTTTCCCACTCCTCGCAGGGTGTAGCTTACCCTGTGTCGAGCTGTTTTTGCAGCTGCAGCCTGCCTCCTCTTGATGCCCAGGTCGGGAGTCAGTTGGGAACTGACAGCGGGGGGAAGCAGGTCACAGCCGTGGGAGACGGGTTTTCCCACAGAGGAGAGGAGAGACTGAGTAGCGCTCTCCTCTCAGTCCTACCCCGTTGCACTTGGAAACCCTGTCAGTTAGCTGTTCCCACGTGACATCCACTTGAGAATGCACTGACTTCCAAAACGCTGAAGAAAAACCAGCAGCGCTCTCCTGTGTGCTACCTCCAATCTTTCTAAGCAACTCAGGGACAAGAAGCAGCCTATCATCTCCCTTCGTCATCTCACACCCATAAACTACACAGATGTGACTCAGGAGACACATGGGGCCAGATTTTCAAGTGATGTAGGTGTTCAAAATGGTCTTCTCACCTGAGCATGCAACTGACAAGTCTGCACACAGGAATGCACATGCAGCTGGCTAATTGGGTGCCTCTGTGTGCAAAGTTGGAGGAACTCCACATGCATTTACATGCCTACCTCGCCTGAAACTCTTGAACCAAAAGCTAAACCTGACCCCTAAACCTGTTCTGGATCTGGATTAGAACACTAACTCCTCATCCCAGCCCTAGTTTACTGTCATGTGAAAGCGTTTGATAGTCCCTGAGCTCCAAGTGGGTGGACCGCAGAACCCCCTAGAGGAGAACAGAGTTTTGCATGTTTGCAGGAGTCTGCCTACATGGAGCTCCTGGCAGAACTGAGACTTTAGATTCAAGTGAGACAAGAAGATGACAAAATCCCCATGTGAGTCCTCCATTTATTTTAGCCTTTGACCTTTTTTCAGACTGGATTAACACACGCGACCTCAACTCAGCTTTATCTTTGAATTCTCTACCCCAGTTTTTATATCCTTCCCTTCCTCATCAAAAGAAAAATAAATAAATAAATAAATAAATACAATGCAGAAGATTTGGAAAGCAAAGAAAGATTAGGAAGAGAGGAGTAAGAGTTGTTTTGGCATTAAATTTACATGTAAAATTGTAATCTTCCACAAAATATTTTTCCCTGTAAAATCTGCCTTTTATTACAAATGTTTATACAAATGTTTTCAGGAGAGAGCTGCATTTCAGGAATGCTATTTTAATGATTCTTAAAGGCCTTTTACTCTCATTGGTGCTATTTTTTTAGACTAAGGATTTTAATGTCAAAACTTTTGTGGGTGATCTTTTAAAATCACGACAAGCTTGTATTTTTGTTGTGTTGCAATAATTCATGTTTTCTGTAAAATCGGCCTAGTACCAAAGTATGAAAAATCAAAACTGTGCCTTGTCTAAACAGTTTTACTCATTTTCTTATGAAAAAGAAAAAAGATCAATGCCCAGAGTTTACCTTAACGTTTATCAGTTTAATTAAAATCAGTATTTCTATATGACTGGACAATTTTTTTTTTTTAACAGAAACAAGAGAAAGTAAAAAAAAAACAGTACGGTGCTGGGAAATGGTGGTGATGAGAAATGTGCTTAAAATTAGTTAGCTGTCCACTTAGTATTCTCTTCATGTGAGTAGAAGCACTATTACCACACCCACACGAGTATCCACCAAGCATCTTCAACACCTTGCTGAGGTGATCAGGACCACAGTTCCCAGAGCTATCTAGCTGTTTGGTTTAGACGGAAGATTCCCACTTAGAGTAAAATCCAGCCGGGGCAGAAGGTCAGCACATGGGCCCACAGACCAGTAAATCGTGCTGCGGGCTTAAGAAAGATTTAAGGGGTTCCTAGAGCTTGCGCTGGTCCTCTGCGAAGGGGCATGTCACAGTATGAGTCAGTGGGACTTGCCACATCAATAAGGTGATCAGGATTCAAGCTACAGCCTGATCCTGCAAGTGCTGAATCTCTCACCTTAAAATGAAGGATGTTCTACTCCTTGCAGGAGTGAGCCCGAAGGACACCAGAAGCATGAGCTGTTCTCCAAAGAACTTTTTGTCTTGCACCTCAGCTATGCATTAAAGGTCTTCTTGCTGATGAAATCATGTGGCAAGAAGCATCATCTCTACAGCTATAGTGTCTACTACTCACCCATGGCTCAGCCTTCTAATGGAGCCTGAGTTGTTCTGTCCATTAAGCCATGGAGAGCTTGTGTTTAATTCCTAAATTATTTCTTATTTCACACGTTATGTAACACAGCACCCCGAGCCTCCTGTTGGCTGCAGCCTGCCACTCAGTTCTGCCTCTGCAAGCCAAGGCCTCGCCATCGACAGTGGAGTCTAACCTTTGGTTTCTGCAGCTCACCTCACATCCTTGCATAACAAGAACAGCGGCTCAGCTCGTTCCCTGGATTGCAACCTTAACTAGGGAGCAACTGCTGGCTCTACGTATATATTTAACTAACAGGACCCCTCAGTGATTAGGTCAGGGAATCAGAATGGGTGCTCGGTGGCGTTGGTGGCCTTTGATGTACAGGAGACCAGACTAAATGATGTGGGGGTCCCTTTTGGCCTTACATGCTGTGCTTCTATGCCTCGAGTATCGAGTTATTCACACTGGGCAAAACTATTGATTTCAGTAGGAGCAGGGTCAGGACCTTGCTGTTCATTCCAGTAGTCCTAAAAACCATCCTCTTCAGCAGCTGTCAGGGCATGTGACCAAGGAGTACCATACCTATGCGATCCACATTGTTCCTCACGCTGAAGTCAATATGAAGCCAGTGGTGCTTTATCAGTTACAGCTGGACTTCTTTTCATACTGATATCTCTGGTCACCTAGAAGCCTTTGCTCCTGGCTGTGAATTCTCTGCCAGAGAATTTGGTCTGACCTGACTGAAGACTTTTTCCTTATTTTCTTAAAGCCCGTGATACTCATTAGAAGTTTTAACAGTTTTTCTGAACTGTTTTTTAGAGAGTGAAGCCCTTAGAGAAAGCTGTTGCAAAAAGAACTATATATAAATTATAATGGGTGAACCTTCTGCTCTCCAAAGCATTAGAAACTCACATGATGGGACAGGAATTTCTAAATAGTTATTGCTAAAGAAACGCTCCTCTTGTTTGTGTTCATCATGCTCCTTACGTTACGCTGCTACATATCACATGAGCAAAGCCACAAAAGATAAACAAAAAAGGGAACTAACTGCAAGATATGTTAAAAATATACATGCATCAAGGAGCAGCATGAACTTTGTATTTTTGTTGTTTGCTTTTGCACATTGTAGTCATAAAGATGAGGTATTTTTTATCTTGTGTCTCCAGCTATGTGCAATGAAGAGATACAACAAGGAGACATAATTCTCCACTGCCTAACATCTTGTGTCTCCATGTGCAGAGCACAGGTGAAAAGTACAACACAGGATGCAGAACAAAGAAGATTCAGGCCCTTAGTTATTAACACCTACTCATGGTAACATAGTCTTCTAGAAAGCGATAAGAAGTTTGTGTATGTGAATGCAGGGAAGACAGAGTCCTTGACTGATGGTACTGAGGTAGATTCCATGCATATTTAAAGAACAATTGACACTTATCTTTCATCTCAAGTGAGGATCTTGTTTTAGCCCTGGATTGAGGATGGCAATGGCTACTCATTGTTGTACCCAGGGATGAGGACTGGTGATGCCATATTTTCCTGTTGGCAAATCAGGGAAATTTTTTCATACCGTGGGGAGTTGAATTGGCAGATGATGTGTTCCTAGAGGGTGGGGTAAGTCATGCCAGTCCTCTTTTGGCCAAGTGGGAACGGGCTTATCTTCCTGATTTGGGGCTGGGTCGAGATGAACATGGCCCTACATGGCGGTTGGGGGCTGCCAAGGTCTGGCTTGGGCAGTAAGCGGAGGGCTTTTTAGACATGGCAATGGGGATTAGTGCCATGGTCATTATGCCCCAGACAAACCTGAGTAAACACCTCAAACTTTGCTGATTATTTTACATAGAGTGTGAGCGTGTCTTTAGAGTCCCCTGACCCGCCTGCTGCAAGGAGAGGAGCCCAGTTGTTTCAGCCAGGGTCTGTATGCAGCACCAGTGCCAAGAAAAGGGCTCTCAAGAAACAACAGGTCAAACAAACTGGGAAGCTGGAGACTGCTAGGCCCTAGAGGGGTCTGCGTGCAGGATGGTGAGGGTGTGCAGGGGGCTGGGGTGGAGGTCAGGGAGGCTAGGAGGAAATAAGCCTGGAGTGAGGTCTGGGGAGTAAGCATGGAGGGGATGAGCCTTGGGGGAGGATGGGGCTAGGGGTGAGTGAGCCTGGGGAGGAGGCCAGGAGACTGAACTGAGGAGGAGGAGGGACTGGGGGGCAGTGAACCTTGGGGCAGAGGAGGGACTGGGGGGCAGTG